AATACACAACACGTAAAGAACACAGCTAGGCTAGCAGTTTCCTCTTGCTTCCTAAGTGCACATTCAGAGCCAAAGAACAGTTCCCGCATAGTAAATAGGCTGATGAATGGCAAACAATGCACAAAAGACAGATGTGAGGAGTAGAGGTCTGGCCCTGATCCAAAACAGAACAGTTACCCCAACCTGAGATGCATAAATTAATTTAGAAGAAATACCTGATGACAGTCAGACTTAACCTGAATATGCCAGATGGTGTGTTACACAGAACCATCTTGGAATCTGTTGTTGGAAACAGTTTGGAAAAGGGCAAAATAAATACTGATTGATTGGATTGATTGGAGGAACCATCTTATCACCATCCATCATAGGTGACCTCCGACCATCCAGATCAACAAACCCTATAGCGTGTTCAATAATGGAGCCAGTTGGGAGAGGAGTATCTCTGCTAACCTCTTTAGCAGCTGCCATTGTTTTTTTCTAGTAGCATTAAAACACGCCGGTAGCTCATTCCATAGCTGCCAGTAGTTCTTCAAAGGATTCCTCGAGGACACAAGCACAAATCTGGCACGATGGATTCTCATGTGATTTTGTGATCTCAAGTCTAGGAAGCTGCCTAGCAAGGCAGAGTAGACTTAAGTCAGAAACACATTTCTCTCAGATCAGATTCCCATTGAGGCTGTACTCGTTGTTAGCCTTCTTCTTTAGTCTTTCCTGCTCTAACATTTAGGTTTTGAAGGTCGTCTACTGGCAGCCTTTGTCTTGCCTGAGAATCTGGGTGAAAAAATTTACTTTTATTTCCCTCAGAGGACATTTTTCCTACAACAATCAGACCTTTAGGGGTGAGTTGACCCGTTTAATAAAGTCATAAAAGGATTACAGCACATTTTCATTGCATATTTGCACATTTGTAACACTCACTTCTCAGCACTTTCTTTCTTATGGCTTTGTGGCTAGCTATTTTTACAAATGTCCTTAAAAATGTGATTGGGCCTCGTAATATGGCAACCCCTCCCATTATCTCCACACATTCATTCATTTTCACACAGTAGTTTTGGCATATAGGTTGATGTGGTCAATCAGCATCTGTTCAGATTGCTTCATGTTAATATCTTAAAGGTCCAGTGTGTAACATTTAGGAGGATCTATTGTCAGAAATGGAATATAATATTCATAGGTATGTTTTCATTAGTGTATAATCACCTGAAAATAAAGATCGTGCTTTCGTTACCTTAGAATGAGCTGTTTATATCTACAGAGGGAGCAGGTCCTCTTCTGGTGGAGTCCGGTAGCCCAGAACGGTTTGGTTTCTCCTACACGCTTCGAAAGGCAAGCGGTATTCAGGTGGTTGCAATCGTCAACTTCACCACTAGATGCCACTAAATCCTACACACTGGTCCTTTAACACTCATCAATTTGCAACAAAAACTCCACCCTATCATGAAATGTTATGACAGCAGTAACGGCACTTCTGACGTTTGTTCACAACTACCCTTACTTCTTATTGACTACCGCACCCTTTCGTGAGCATGGTTGTACCTCAGTATGTTTTCCAAGAGGTATAAAACTCATGAAATAATTGCCTAAAAATAATTGATTTGATGCTTTGCTTTGCCCCAAACCCTTCCTAGCAAGTTCAGTTTTTGGACCTCAGTATTTCTAAATCATGCTGGTGAGATACAGTGGCAAGAAAAAGTATGTGAACCTTTTGGAATTTCATGGTTTCCTGAATAAATTTGTCATAAAATGTGATCTGATCATCATCTAAGTCAAGGGTATTGACAAATAAAATATGTCTAAAATAATAACACAACATTTTTTTGATCTTTCGTGTCTTTATTGAGAACAACCAAAAAAACCTCATAGTGCTTGTGGAAAAAGTATGTGAACCCTTGAGTTAATGACCTCAAAAAAGCTAACTGGAGTCAGGTTTTAGCACACCTGGAGTCTCGTTAAGATAATAAGTTTGGAGGTGTGGACTACAGCTACTTTGACTGATAAAAACCCCTCAAACTTTTGGAATTTGCTCTGCACAAGAAGAACACGCTTATGTTAGCCGTGCCTCGCCAAAAGAGCTTTTAGAGGATCTACGATCAAGAATTGTTGGTTTACATAAAGCTGGCAAGGGTTACAAAGTTATTTCAATGACTTTAGAAATTCACAAGTCTACAGTTAGGCAAACAATCTACAAATGGAGACACTTTGGGACTGTTGCTACTCTACCAAGAAGTGGGCGCCCAGTCAAAATGACACCAAGAGCACAACGAAGACTCATCAATGAGGTACAGAATCAACCCTGAATGACAGCCAAAGATTTGAAGGCTTCATTGGAACTTGCTAACATCTCTGTTCATGAGTCTACAATACGTAAAACACTGAACAAGCAGGGTATCCACGGCAGGACACCACGAAGGAAGCCACTGCTTACTAAAAAGAACATTGCTTTTTTTTTTGAAAAAGAGCACATTAACACTCCACAGCGGTATTGGCAAACTGTTTTGAGGACTGATGAAACTAAGATTGAACTATTTGGAAAAAACACACAGCACTACATCTGGCGCAGAAAGGGCACGGCATATCATCATGAAAACATCATCCCAACCGTAAAGTATGGTGGAGGAAACATCATGATTTTGGCCTGCTTTGCTGCATCAGGGCCTGGCCAGCTTGGAATCATTGAGGGGAAGATGAATTCCCAAGTATATCAGACAATTCTTCAGGATAATGTGAGAATGTCTGTACGTCAGCTGAAACTGTGTAGAAGGTGGGTGATGCAACAGGACAACGACCCAAAACACCAGAGCAAGTCCACAACAGAATGGCTTCAGAAAAACAAAATCCGCCTTTTGGAGTGGCCAAGTCAGAGCCCAGACCTCAACCCAATAGGATACTATGGATTGACTTGAAGAAGGCCATACACATGAGATGTCCAAAGAATATGACAGAGCTAAAGCAGTTCTGCCAGGAAGAATGGGCTAAAATTCCTCCAACGATGTGCAGGTCTGATCCACAGCTACAGGAAGCGCCTGGTTGAGGTTATTGCTGCTAAGAGGGGGTCAACCAGTTATTAATTCTAAGGGTTCACTTACTTTTTTCACTGCCATTTTGAATGTTGAATGAGTGTGTTCAATAAAGACATGAAAGATCAGAATTTCATTATATGACACATTATGTTTGTTAATACCCTTGACTTAGATGAAGATCAGATCACATTTTATGACAAATTTATTCAGAAAACAATGAAATTCTAAAAGGTTCACATACTTTTTCTTGCCACTGTACACCTAAAATGTAAGTGTAATGCTTTCCCATTGTTAAATAGGATTTAAAAAAAAACACCAAAACAACTAGGGTTAGGGTTAGGGTTAGGGTTGTGCAGAATCAGGGTACTGTAATTCAGACGTAAGTGGGGCAGACGGGTTAACACTCAATCTTTTTGACAGGTACGAAAAGAACTGAAATTCCCCTTCATTTTAGATTTCACAAGCAATTCAGGAACCTTTTTGCTCTGAAACTCCTGCTAATTTATGACTGCTCGGAGGAGGCAGAGCATGGCTCTCTTTGTTTTGCAATCTGCAATGTTTCACTATTTTTCCACAATAGTGTATCTGCATGCCTTACTTTGGGATGGATTTTGACTGTAGTTTCGGTTTGATTTATTTTTGTTTCACATAAAGCTTCAAAGCCACAAGTCCAAAGACAACGCTTTGTACTGTTTGTCTCTGCTCTGCTGACAATGTACGTCTGTCCAAAGAATGTGAGGTTTTTCCAATGTAAAATGTTTTCGTCCAATGTAAAAAGTAAATAATTTGTGCCTTTTTCCTCTCTGAATGTCTAATCCAGGAATTTATTGTAATGATTATTAGTTTTTACTGATTCTTTTATCCGAAGCCATTTTGAAATGCAGGGATCCTGTTTTATACAGCAGATTTAGCTTCGGTTTATTCTGCTGCCAACCAGCTGCATGTTTGATCAAGGGACACAAACACAGTTTAATGTCCCTCCACCAGAGCTTTGAACCCACGGCGTGCCCTTTTGGCCCAGTCCTCGAGCCTCCCACTCTTCTGAGCAGTGCCCACTGCTAGTAATCCATCTGTGAGTGTTGTGTTCTCCTTGCCTCCTGTACACAATGAATCATTTTTATGAAGGGGTCAAAGGAAGAAGACTTGAAACACCTTAGTGTGTTCATTATCCCTTACTTCTACTAATGTCACCCTGTACTTGTGGCACATGGATGGTAATCTGATGGAGAGCCAAATGAGAAACCCCCAGACCCTCCTCGTCCTTTCCACGGCAGATCTTTCTGCATGTGGATCAAATCAGAATTATCCACTAATTGACTATTTACAGGGCTCGAGAAAAGCCCTAATGGACTTGATATTAAATCCCCCTCAGATATTTAAAGTGTCTTTTTGGAGTGGCTTGCCTAAAAACCGGGCTTTTTCTTTTTTACAAGACGGCCGAGTTAAGCCCGTCAGTGTGTCGGAATGGGCCAGCCCAGCCCGGGCGGCTGTTAGATGGGATTATGGGACGACAGTAGGCAAGGGCAGTGCGACGCAGGGGAGAGGGGAACGGCCAGATCTCCCATCAATGACTTCCAGATGGACTGCAGGCCCAGGTTCTCTCACTGGAGATACATACTCAGCTTAACTCGTGCTCCATGAGGGGCTTAAGCTTGGCTTCTTTATAATGAGATTGACTGGGGTTTTATGTGGAAAGTTAGATAACATAAATTTCAATATGCCGGCCCTGCCCTTTAATGCGCTATTAAGGCTTCGACTAAAAAACTTTGACTATTAAACCAAAGTCAGGGATCTTTGGTGTAAACTTATGTTACTTGCCTTTTAATGTCAAGAGTTCCTTTTAAATGTTGCTGTTGTTTTGGGAACAGCATTTAAACACTGCAAAACTACCAATAACTATTTTAGTTATAATAGTAAGTAAGAATTAAGAGTTGTAGATTAATATCAACAAGTATCAAACTTTGTTCTGTGTTTTTGCAGATCTGGTTGGCCCCAGCAGCAGTCCAGTTCTGCTCTCTCATCCATATTAAAAGCTTTAACTCAGACAACAAAGAGTGAAGAAAGTTTGAGGAGATCACTAACGGCACTAGATTTTATTTATTTATATTTTATTTGCCTTTGTATATATTTTTATACTTTGGTGCCATTATTTTTGTTACATGTGACATTTTGAATATGTTTAAAACTGTGTCCTATGTAGTTACTAATGTTCAAATAAATAAATGCCATCCTTAAAAAAAACCTTGCGTGACCCCTGGCAATTTTTTTTACAATTTTGCACACTACACAGAATTATTAATGTTGTTTTATCATAAATTGCAAAATTGCTTAATTTAAACAACCATATCCAGCCCCTGTGTCTTTTCATATAACAGCAAATAGATTTAAGTCAAATGTAATGTCGCCCCAAATTGAGTTGGGTGTGTTTACTTTATTAACATTTAACCATAATCCTGTCTTAACTAAAGCATTTTTGTTGCTTAATGCTGCCAACACGCTAGACTCAGGATGTGAACCCCGGTCTCCAGTATCCACCACTCACCCTGAACGTTACCCCATGTCTTGCCCCCGTGTTTTGCACAAGAACGAAAAACTTCCTTCCCTGGGAAAAACTTTGCGGGTGAACATAATCCAGGCAGCAATTATATTTCCCTCAAACATATTAGTATTATATGAACATCATTTCTAAAGGCACAGGGTTTCCATAGCGACGATTTTGCATGTTTTCTCCTATTTACTGCAAGTCACATACTTTATATTACAGTTAACCATTTTGCAAAACATGCTGTGTGTGTTTTTGATTTTTGGATGCATGTCCATTCGTTTCTGTACCGTATCTATTCTCTTGAAATGTAACAAAGTATGACAAAAAGTAATGCCGACTTGGCGTCCACTGCGATGGATTAGACAACTCAAACAAATTTCAAGAGTCTGCCAACTGATTTTTGTGCCATATTGAAATGAATGGAAGCCTAGGCTGCCTGGAACAGTCGTAAAAATACGTCTGAACGTCTATAACGGACAGCAAAAAGGAAGGCTATACATGATTTGTAGTTTGCAAAAGCACTGGTACGGGCAAATCTTAAGCAAATCAAGTGCGAGAGTAACGCTGGTGACCCAAACTACTTTGCCAGCGAAATGAACGCCTGATTGCTAATATCAGGAAAGTCATAGCTCAGCATTTCTAGATAGCCAGCTGATGATTTGTTGATTTGAGTGGTAGCTCTCAGTGAAGAGCCTCCCTTCATGTGAAATGCATCAACAGCTGAGAAAGAGATAGAGAAAGAGGTGCTGACACGAACCAGGACCTAGCCATCAGCATAACTCATGATCTAATGAGAGCTCTGTGTGAGAGAAAGCAGTGCCCTGTCTGCTGATGTCCTCATCCTGCTGTCTCTACATTCCTTTCAACAAATATTCTTTACCTCGACTTTTGATCACCGACCCGTTCGACATTTACTGATTGTTACTCAAGTGGATACTCCACTGTGAGTGCATCTTTCTGATTCCGTTGGACAGCACCAAGTAGTGGTCTTTATAGTTTATAAATCATGTGTTGCACAGTGAAACCAGTTCAGTACGTTGCTTCAGGAAGAATTCATGGATCTCAAGCTTCTGGACCGTGGCCTTTGAAAAGCAGTATTTGAAGACATATCTACTGTAAATTAAGTGGAAAGGAAGTTTAAGTAGGAGGTAGGGTTGCATTTAAATGCTGTTTTAGAAGGTTACTGTTTCCAAGATGGCAGACAAACATATACTGTAGCTGTGTAGGTCCTAAATCCTAAAATCTTTACTGTTTTTGTTTAAGCTATAACAAAAATAGTAAAGATTTTAGGATTTAGGATCTGCATATTTGCAAGTGAGCAAGAAAAGTATCTTCTAACCTTGGCATGTTGATTGTTGCAAAATTCTCAAAAACACAAGCCTATCGCCATGCAAGAATGGATGATTCTGCAAAGCCATGAATTACATCCAGTGCCAGCGTTTCTCAAACTCTCGCTTCCTACAAAATCTTCACATAGCAACTATATGGCATGGGTAAGGTTAGGGAAACATCGTGGTTACTCTTGATTGAAAGGTTTGGGTTAGTGAATGATAATTGCCGGTCTGTGACTCCAGTCTCCCGCACGCCACATAAATCCTGCTGTAGAATCACCAAATATGAATGTAATTCATAGGAATACTGGACTGTAAAAGCAGCACAATCTGAGCTACTGCTTGTTCTGTCCACACATGCAAGTAACAATAATGAAAGCTAATTTATGGAATTTAAAGGACCAGTATGTAAGATTTAGTGGCATCCAGCAATGAGATTTCAGATTGCAACAACAAACTCCTTAATTCAACCAAGCGTGAGAGACTTAGCTGGTCAGAAAAAACACAAAAGGCCCCGTATAGAGCCAGTGTTTAGTTTGACTGTTCTAGGCTACTGTAGAAACATGGTGGTTCAACATGGCAGACTGTAGAAAAGGATTTGCTCCCTCTGTAGATAAAAACAGCTCATTCTAAGGTAACAAAAACACAAAAAATATTATTTTATAATATATAATTATTATATACTAATGAAAACATACCATACATATTGTCCATCCATTTCTGACAGTAGATCCTCCTAAATGTTTTACACTGGACCTTTAAAGTGAGGGTAATGTAGTTGTAGTTGGGAATACAGTGTTGGATTAAATATAGCAAACAATTAGAGGCATGAACATGTTTATTTATCATCAGGTGTGCAAAAAAGTCAATATATTCAAAAATGTTATATTGAATTTAACAACAGGAAATAAAGGGACAATGCACAAATGCAGGGGTTCTAACTCTACTGTGTGTACTGCTACTGAGAGCCTTTTCTTTCAGCTTCCCTGCCTGCTCAGGCTGTTTTGTATTTGCAGTCTTGCGAGAATTTTTTCCAAGTAAGTCATTTGGGAGTGGGATTTGTGTGCAGCTCTCCTTTCCGGTACTCACCATGGCTTAACAACAGTTCGTTAAGCTCCCATCTGGTTCTGCCTGAGAGTTCTTTGCTGTCCCGTTTCACTAGAATATTGTTTGGAGCCACGAGTTTGGAGCCAAGCTTTGACGACCAACCACAGTAGGATGGCTTACACTCACAACATGATGTTTTCTTCAGACGAGTGCTAGTGTCACGCAACTAGCATAACCCTTGGATAAGACCCATACACTAACAGCTCGCACAATTTTTTTTTTAGGTGCACCTTGATTTAATTGCTCTGTATGTACATCATGGGAAAATACTTTTACACACAGCAGGCTAGTTTAAGTGTTTTCACATACGCTTCTTAGTGTATGAACAACTGACTTCAGTTTCTCTGTTATATTCTGATATGATCAATCTCACTTGGCAGTGGACCCAAATCAATTTGTCTCAAATCTCAATTTGGCACTTGTGAATAATCTCACACTGGCTGTGATAACTTCTGTACATCAACCCCGTCCCCTCCCAGTTGAACATGTCTCAGGCTGGCGATATTGTATATTTTTCTTACTGTCAACAAATCCTATGAGAAGACCTAAACCATCAATGTACTGATCCTTCACATCAGTGAACCACACTGTTGCACAGGCCACTCCCACTTACCCTGGATCCTAAGTACACTGTCACATGGAATGGATTATTATGTCAATGTAGAATATTCACATTGGCGCAGAGGCTCTGACCATGTCACTCCACACAATGACAATAACTCCCCGCCCCTAGGGGAACATAGACTCAGGGCATACAGGCGGATGCTGGGGAGGAGGGTTCTGTGAACAGCAGTAGTGCTAAGTGACAACATAGCTTTCAGGTGAACCGTGTGTCAGCAGGCAGGCAGTGACCAGAGCAGTGACAGCTACAGTACACCGCCAGTGCAGTGAGATGAGTATGCCACATGAGTGAAGCGGCAGACTTGAGCTGACTGTCTGAACTAGCTTCACTAGTGAAAATAGTCCCCAACAGAGACACTGTTTACTCCTGTTTGATAAACGTTTGCCTACAGTGCTACAACTGGGACTTTTTTGGTAATGAACCATACATTTTTATCCAGTTTTTACAACTTTAGGAACCAATGGGCTTAAGGGGATGAGTGATAGAGACAGGGCAGGGAAGTCAGAAAGTATTGAGAAATGGACTAACTCATTATTAGTTTTGGTCTTTTCATTGGATTTGTGGACAATAACAAGAATTTAGAATAGCAGCAGCTTTATTCGTTAGACACGCTCTACCTGGGTGAGGCTCTGCAAGAAATGATAAAACCCTCAGTCCCTGGGAGGCCATCATGTACTCATATTTTACATATATAGGCCAGTTCAACCTGCCAAAGACGATGATGGTGCACTTCTACACCGCCATCATCGAGTCCATCCTCACCTCTTCCATCACCATCTGGTACGCTGCTGCCACTGCCAAGGACAAGGGCAGACAGCAGCGCATCATTCGTTCCGCTGAGAAGGTGATTGGCTGCAACCTGCCATCCCTCCAGGACGTGTACGCCACTAGGACCCTGAGGCGTGAAGGCAAGATTGTGGCTGACCCCTCCCACCCCGGACACAAACTCTTTGAACCACTCCCCTCTGGCAGGTGGCTGCGGTCCATCAGGACCAAAACCTCTCGCCACAAAAACTTCTTCCCATCTGCAGCTGGCCTCATTAACAAGGCCCAGATCCCCCACTGTCACTGACCCTAAACCCACCCTCTATATATGCATTACATTAATGCACTCCCGTCTTCTGTACAGTCTTCTTATCTTTTCTTATCTTTATTTATTTATATTTTTAAAAGTACTTCATTTTTCTGTGTGATGTTTGTGTGATTTGTATATTTGTATATTTTATGCACCATTGCACCAAGACACATTCCTCGTAGGTGTAAAAACTTACTTGGCAATAAACAATTCTGATTCTGATTCTCTTCAAGAACAAGCACAGCAAACATTGATTTTTCCCTTATGTATGCTTTTGTGTGATGAAAAATGATCCTTGTTACTTCAGCTTCAGCTAGAAAGTTACATCTTGTTCTTGTTGTTGATACTTCTTGTGCTCTTGAACCTGCAGCTCCCTCTCATAGATAGAGCTGCTCAAACCTGTATTTGCATTGCAGTGTCAGAAAACCACCACCCTATCTGATCACAGGCTAGTACATATGCCACACATCTGCATAAGTAAAGAGGAGGTCAGCCAGGCAGGAGTAAATGGCTTTGGAGTGCAATTTAGCAATGATCATGGCTGTAGTTCATTATCATTGCTTGGTGTCAGAAGCCCATAGTGGGGTTTTGAACCTTGATCAATTTCAGACTTGTACAGTGGACAAAGCTGGTTTCTTCAGTCGTCCACATTAGCTGTCAGTCCAGTGAGTCCCTGCGCTACTCAGCCCCACTTGGTACTGATAGGATGGATCCCGGATGGATATAGCGCCTTGTGTGGGATAGGCTGAGAAATCTCTGTGAGGCCGGAGCGGTGACCCTGGCTTCTTGTGGTACAGAGGCGGATGGCCTGACCTATCCCTGGATCCCAACACAGCTGGAGAGCAGGATGAAGAGGAGGATGAAGGGGGTATGACGGGCAGACCTCGCTGGACCGTAGCTGAGTTGTAGACCCCCAAGTCAGCCTGCGGCCGTGATGCCATGGATGATGTAGGATGCGGTACCACAGGAGTGACCGCGGCAGTGTTGGTGAAGTGAGCTGCGAAGGGCTGGTACGGGACTCCCTCCACACTATAGCGAGGGTAGGGCTGCATTGTAGCCCACATGTTGCAATTTATTGAAGAGGAGTTGGTTAGGTCATCCGTGTCCCCTGCACCGGATCCAGACTCTGTTTCCATACTACCATACATACAAGCTTCTCTAGAGCCGATGGCCTCAGTGCAGTACGGATGAGACAGTAAGGGCGACTCATAGGAGGGAGCTGAACGAAAGTAGTGCTCCTCTGAGACCGCAGATGATGTCTCCAGATATGGCCGCTTACATCCAAGCTCCAGGTGTCGGGCATTATCTGCAAAGTGATACAGTTAACTCCACTGTTTAACTACATCTGACTCTGTACAATGGCAGACAGAACAGTGGCTAAGAACATACCTCTGTGTTTGAAGCAGTGGTACAGAAGGCTGGGATCTCGGCTCTGAGGGAAGTGGTTCGAGATAGGATCTTGGGGGTCGGAGTTAGACAGAGGGACTCCAGTCTCATACTGATAAGAGGACAGGACTTGAGGGTGCCCCGAGAGAACTCCTGCTCCGAGCTTCCCCGCTAGATGACCATGTGAGGAGATGAGCCTCTGGCGAACCATGTTCTTTGATATCACCGGATAGTCTTTCCTATACATCAGTTGCAGCAACAGAGGAGGAAAGCAAATCAGTTTGCCATGCCTACAATTCCACTTGACACATCTTTGAAGGAAAAAGGTTTTTATATCCATACACAAAGAAAACTCATGAAGAGCTGACTTCCTGTGAGCTTAATGCTTCTACAGGATCAGTTTTACTTTCCTGGTTCCTGTTTGTTTAGACATACCCCTGTAGTCTTGAAACACGCAGATCTCCTTCTTCGCTACCTCGGAAGCCTTTGGCAAATGGATTGTTTTCTATCTTCAACTGAGTGATCTAAGAGAATGATTTTTCATTTAAGATCTTATTCTGTTTGGTAAAAGCCAAAGCACAGGTAAAGCAATTTAAGAAACACTGTCAATTTCAGCACTGTAATGCAAGAAGTTATTTCAACTCAAAAAAAATTATTGAAACCGATTACATTGAACATTTTAAGTAACACAAACTCAATTTTGTAAGTTTAAAAAGATACTTGATGAAGCAGCTTTTACTTGTGATTTAAAGTGACATTTAGTTTTGTAAGTTACAGAAACATTCCTGATTACATACTCTTTACTTCTGTTTTCACAGTACAAATTCAAAATGACAAAATTAAGTCAGTGTCACTCAAGAATGTTTTTTCAACTTATAAAATTTAGTTAGTTTTACTTAAAATTTTCAATATAAATCAGTTTCAACATGTTTTTGAATTAAATTAACTTCTTTGGTTTTACAGTGAACCATTGGTCAATTGCTCTCATTTGATAGTTAAATTCCATCAAGCTACACCTAAAATCCTAGTTATACATGATTTACCTTTGGACAGGAAAAAAGCATGACGTGAGTGTGTAAACCACTTTCACCAATAAAATTAAGAGCTGACACCAACAAGAGTTACAAAATACTTTTATATGTGTAAAACTAGGAATTCTGCATTTACTTTATTTTAATATTTGTAGTATACTGTATACTACAGATAGTCACTGTACCTTGTGGTTTTGATAAGAGGTTACAGAGATGAAGGCTGTCTCGTGAAAGACGTGAGTACAGTAGGCGGTGTTCTTGGATCCAAAGGCGTTGTTTTCATCTGCTTTGACTATGTGTAGTCTGGGCTGGTACTTGTGCATAGAGTTCAGGATAATCTAGGAAGGGTAAGAGAAGGCAACACATTTCATTTTATAACGTCTATCAGAAGCCACTGTCAGATCAGTGGATCTTCTGGTCATTCAGTTCTCATTTCAGAAACTGGTATTAAAAACAAAAAGTGAGTGATTTAATTTTGGTATATTTTAAAATGACAACCAAATTGAAAAAACATTGTTTTATTTTTCATTGTCAAAAAGGAATTATCAAAATTTAAAAAATGGTTTGATATTCATTTTCTACTTTATAGAAATGGCTTTCTAATTTGTGGCTCACTTTAGTGAGGTTCCAAAGACATTTTAGCCTGGTCTAAAGCAACACTGGCCTACATCTGGCACTCCTGCTTGTGAATGAGTATACCGGGTGTCAGAATATGAAAAAAATAACTTTGTCCTTTTAATTTCTAGTGATTTTATTTTATTATACAAAGTAGAAAAATCTAAATCAAACATTTTTTAAACCTCGCTCATCCCTTTTGACCATGACAAAGAAAAATCTGCTTTTTTTTCATTACCATATACCACCAAATGTTTAAATTGGTTTTCCTTTTTTTTAATCATTTGAATTAATTAGAGGATAAATTACATATCAAAATCAACAAAATCAAATATTGTGATGACCTTGCATGGTTCTCACAGAAAAATTAACAAGTAATCACTATGGTAATCCCATGTGCATAGTGACATTAAAATAAATATAACAAGAAATAGTGTGAGTAATACAGAAGAGAAAAGAAAGAACACACATACAGGAGAACCTTGTCAAGAACGTTCAAATGAAATTTCCTTCCAACCTCCATTTGAACCTCCTATGAGCAAAGTACATAAATTAGTAATTCATTTTTCCATAATTAGTTTTTCACCACTAGCTTGCAAAGAAAATGACAATGTTCATTTGCTAAGGGTAAATAAACACTAAATTACACAGAAGTTTACCGTCCCTAATTACCCAATCTACTGATAATAAGAGAAGATCCACTAAACAACAAAGCAGGTAGACACTCCACATGATATTGTTCTTGCTCTCTCCAGAGTATCTAATCAGTGCTGTTTCCATTCACCAACATGGGCTGTGTTTCTAATTGGCCCTGTTTCATTAGGTAGTGAGTCACTATACAGTGAATTAGTTTACAGCCGCTGATTAAATGAACATGAGACTGCAATATGAGTTAATGACCTGGGACATAATTCAAAAGCAGCTCATGATAATGATGTCACATCAAATGAACTGCACAATAACTGTTTCTGTTGGGATTTTCTCAGAAGTTTCACTCAGTGGAAAACACAGCTGCAGCTGCTGCTGCTAGTAAAATTCATAATGGGTATAAGTTAAGCTTACCCATTTCCTATAGTTAGCTAATGAGCAAGCAGTGACCATACGCAGCATTATTGTCAATGCCTGCCGACTTGCACACCTAAATATAACCATCATTTCTTATATTAGTTGCAGCTGTGTCACCGGTGCTGTGGGGGGTCTGTTAAAGTCCAAGAGAAGCACAAGTGTGGGGACATCTTTTCCAAATTGACCTCAACTGTGTCCCAGTTTCTTATACTACACAGTATGTAGGTTTTTTTCATTTTCAGTTAGTATACAATAGATTAATGCGCTGTCATTTGTACAAATAGGAAATGATACAAGGCATGCCAAATCAACCTGTTTTACCTCCATTCAAATGTTTTTGCAGCAGCATTAACAGACCTCACAAAAATCAAGCAGATTTAATATTATTAATTAATTAGTATTCAGTTGTATTTAGGTGATGGAATTAATAACATTAATGAAGGCTCAATTCCATCCCCGTAAGCCTTCCAAGTCAGTGAGCATGGTTGCCCTGGATCTGAAAAACATAACTATAATGCAGATCATACATTTTATTAATTACCCTCATTCTTTTCCTGATATGACACTGGAAATGTTTTATTTCATAGTACAGTAAGTATACAGTATATAGTATTAGAGATTGGATTGGATTGGTTAGGTTATATAGTAGTAGGATCTTTGTAAATTGTTTTACTTTTTCATGAAAATGGCACTCTGTCCCAATGTCCATCCTAAGCACAAACTCCCACAGACTAACTGACAATAATCAAATGTATTATTAAAAAAATAAACATGGACATCATTTTGATAAATGCTTTTTACCCTCAACACATTTATCTGTTAGTATCATAGAACCATTACTCAGCAATAGAAATCAAAAATAATATATGGTCATTCAGTGTCAACATCACACTCACATCTTGTGCTCAACAAGACATGAATGTGGTATTAGCCTAAAACGCTGTAAACAGGGTGTCATTCCCTGACACAGCGTTTATCATTGCAGACTCACGAGGGTTGCGAGGGAGCCCTCAAGCACTTGCTGATGTCACAGTGAAGGAACACTGAGGTTTATTTTTTCTTTCTTTTTGGAGTGGGCATCGCAATCTGTGAGTCTTTGAGGTTGAACTTTGCTACCGATCTATGCTCATTGCTTTTTACAGGGCATTGTGGGAATTTCATAGGCACGCTACTCTGGACACTCGGGACATGCAAGAAAATTTCTGACTGCCTATTCCAGTTCAGGTGTCTCAGACTAATCCTGACTTGGATCAGTCTGGGACACCTGAAATCACAGCACAAAATTACACTATTTGTAATAAGTGTGTTCTTGTCTTATAAGGTAAATTATTTGTTTTAAAACTGTTAGACTACAGAGTAAAGCATACCTGTTACCATCCATTCCCTGCTAAATGCCTAACTGGAATTGAGCCTTGCAAGTGCAGAGTTGTTGGAATCAGATCTGTAAAACAGTTTCTCTGTATCTTTTATATCAATCACTTGATCTGGAATTTAAATATTTTGTGTATTAGTATAGCAGGTAGCATGTGTTGAGCGTGTTTAGGTTGTTTGGGTGGCTGCAGGTTGGCTCACTAGCATCATTCTGCTCACCGCAGCCGAGTGCTGTGCCCAGCGAAGCGTTAGCAACAGTAGGGAAGGGTCATCACTAGTCCAGCTCTGTCAGGGCAAATAAGCATCAAGCTCTGCACCTCGGCTCCCCTCCTCATTCGCCAGACACTCTCCTGAGGAGCCTTCTCCTCCAGGGGGCTCCCAGAGAGAGGCAAAGGTTGAATAGGGCACAGGGAGCTAGGCTCAGGTTGAACACCAAATGGCCCCATGCTCACATGCTCCTGTTGCTGAGACAGGCTGGAGACAGAGATAAGCTATTGGTTGGTTCACCAGAGGCTCTTTGTTGACCTTTGTCTGCTCTGCTGTCTGGCTGCTGTTTGAGGATGATACTGGAGACTCTTGGGTGACTGTCTGAATGCAGTGATCGGGGAGGCCTTCCACAGATCAGCGAAGAGCTAAAGAAGGTATTTGCTTTCATCTTCCCTGATATAAAAACATTTAGACATGATTATTTGCTTCAACTGATATGTGCTTGGGAAGAGTTCTTAAATGACAATGAGTACTATTTTATTACCGTAGCACGTAATGAGCAAACCTTATTGCCAGACAAGAAGGCCAATAACGGACGATTCTGAAAAAAAATGGATTACGTCCAATACTAACACTTGAAATTTGTTCTTTCTTTGCCTGGCCACTACTGTATGGTTAACATTAAGGAAAGATTATAGTTATGGACTATCAAAGGTCTGACAGGATGCCACATCCACTCTTTTTCATAAAAGTCCAACATGCAACACATCCAACCCTAACCTCAACACCTCCACCCCCTTGCTTTATGGCTTTGCCACATAAAAAGGCACAATATTTCCTGTATTAGTACCGAACCATGGCAATGGGTGTAAATCTTGATACGGTATTGTTCAATATTGACATAATTCTTTAAGGATACTGGGCTGAATGACCGCAGTACATTAGCCTTTGGTGTTTGGACCGGGTTAATGATCAATGTCAATGACTCTAGTTCTGTTCTTTGAGATGGTACCACCTCGAACATCTCCTGGCTATCAGTAGCAAATCTATCCCAGGTCAGTAACATCTGCTATCACTGAACATTACTGATATTTGTATTGCTGATGCTCAGCAGGTCCATTGTAAAGACAGGAAGATGATGGGTAAGGGATTTGGTGCAATATAGAGAAAAGATGATTGCCTTACATTTGAAGGATCTTGGGAAATAGTCTCTAGACCTGTAGTATATACCATAGAACACGGATTCCACAGTGTGAGAACCTAGTACTCAAGAAAGGGACTACACTCTGAAGACATTTTGCACTGCATCAATCCCTAAAGTTACGCATTAGGACACAGACCTGCATTTGAAAAGACATCACCTCAGGAATTCCCAATATGGGAAAATGTACTTGTTAATTTGTACTAAACTCTACAATACTTAGCACATTGCCACACAGAGCAGTATCAGAAAATAAAAAACGTGAGAACTGCGGTTAAACTAGTCATTTTTATACATACTGTAATGATAATAATTAGTACTGAATAGGAGTTCCTTCACTCCACTGTGAGAAGCACTGCCCTACTATACACCTCCTGGTCTGGGCATCATCTGGGTTCTGCCTGGCCTCAGACTAGCTCTGTCCTCATTACTCGCCCTTATCACTGGCCAGGCACTCAACTTAATCTGACAGCAGGCCCCGCCACTGATCTGAGAGGTTATGAACCTAATGAGCCCGCCCATTGATGGGATGGCTTCAGACAAGCTATCCCAGAGTCCCCCTGGGGAGCGCTGCCACAGTCACACTCTTCACTTCCCTCTGCAGCCTCTGCCTCCTCAGTTTCTTTCATCCTTCTTTCAGAAATCAGCCTGTGAAAAACCCCTTCATGATTTTGCGGTTTGCACACGTATCGACAGCAGAAATTTTCACATCAGCTGTTTCACAAATAGTTTCATCTGACTGCAATGTTTCTGACATTGGATGGGAGTTTTGGTTGATCAGAGTTCCCTCTAGTCATGAAATTCAGCAATATATTGGAGTGTTGGAGGTATACTGGCAAAGCTGAAATTAATAAAGTGCCTTGGGAGCACAAGGGATTTTAGAAATAAATAACTTTTTCACACATGATTTATCTTTTCTCTCCAAACTAAAGGGATTTCACCTGCAGGACACTGTGTACAGCATTATGTATTCTATATTAACTGTATATTACACATCATCAATACTGCTTTGGCCTTAATCTGGCCACACTAGCACTGGGGATGGCAATGTCGGTCTTCCAGTCAGTCCACCACTTCAGGCCATCTCAACAACTACTAGATAGATTACCATGAAACTTTTCCTTTTTGGTGAATAGCTATTTTCCATTAGATTTGGTGCAGATATCCATCGTGCCCAGAGGATAAATCCTGATGACCTCTGTGATCCCCTGACTTTTGATGTAGTTCCACCAGCAGATGAAGCATTTCACTTACCTAGAAAAATATCTCTATATCTACAGGATGGACCGGCACAAATTGTGGTACAGACATTAATTCTATACAGAGGATAAATACTAATTACCATGGTGATTTCCTGACCACTGGACTTGGATATGACTTTTTGGGTGTTTCTTTTAGTAGTTTTGTCCATGATTCTTAGTCTGGCACCAGATATATTGGAAGGATATATATCAGGGATTTAGCATTTTATTTGAATCAATAATTCCAGTTGGTTAACATTTTACTCACCAATTTAATCACTTCAGTCTGGGAACATGGCAACAACATAACCATATAATTTAAATTACTGATTTCTAACTGACACGATTGTATAGCTATGTTTAGAACTGTTGCCATGTTCTCAAGTTTGAGCAATTCAACTGATGAGTAAAATGTTATTATTAACTATTGGAATGTTGGCAAAATAAAAAATATGACTGATAATGAAAACAATAATATTTTTTTTTCGAACAGGTCTTGAACTATTAATATGCAGGTACTCACATGCCCAAAAGGGTCCAGGTGATTGTTTGTCAGCTTGAGCTTCTGAAACGACACCAGTTGCCTCATCCAGTGAGCTCCTGTGGCGGGGGAATCAGGGTGCACATAGAGCCTTCCTGGCATTGCTGGCTCTGCCTTGCCAGCCACCATCCTAAAAACAGATCGAGAGACGTGCAGAAGAAAATTGCAATAAGGAAAGAAAGCTGTTTTCAAGGGGCAGTGGCATCCAACATCAGCGAGTATATCTCAGCTTTTGAAGGGCTATGTTAGATTAACTGAGTGTTTTGATGTCAGCATGTGAACCTTGGAAGTCTCCTTCACTATAATGTAGCTGTATAAAAGATATAGAACACCACTGCTCTCAACCCTCACAGTATTAAATCCCCAAGACTGAAAGGAGGTGGCCTCTGCTAAAACATCATTACTAATTATGCTTCTCCAAGGTGTCGCTGAGGAACACCAGAACCCACCAACTACAGGCCATGCCACAAGATCAGAAACAAATGGCTGTAAAATAACTCCTTTCTGCTGGAGATTTTGTGTTCTTTTCAGCTTTTCCTAACAGAACTTCTTTTGTCCACCCATGGCCAACTGGCAGTAGCAGTTCTAATGTCACCCTGATTGATGGAGGACTGCAGTGTCATTGCCTCCAAATACAGGGTCAATGGGCAAAATATTGAGCCCAGTCCAGCAGCTTTTTTTGCCTGTACCCTGCAGTAAGCAGCAGTAGCCAGTAATAATCTGAAGTAATAGTTAGACCATGCCTGGCTTAGATGATCTGCTCTTGTACAATAATTTAAAATTTAAAACAAATTTAAAAAATTGTGCTTGTGTGGATTTAGAAGTATTTTAATACATTTAATACATCTTTGGTGAACAGAGGGAATTATGGTAATCAAAGGAACCAAGTGCTACTTTTAAAAGGATATTATTAACCCAATATAGGCATGACTGAAGCAGCAAGTACCCCAACTGACACTGCTTTCCAACTCATGAAGAGAAGAAGGACGCAGAACATCAGTGCCATGCTTTGGCCCTATGTAGGCCTGTAGGTTTATAAACTAAGGGCCATGACCAGGGCCCGATTAACCTGTAACCCGAGGCAAGAATCTGCAGCTGGGTCCCTATTGTGCACAATATAGACTGAAATAAAAGGGAATTGTTGGGTCAACTTAATAAAATTACCACTAAACATACCATTACAAACACCAACACACCACCACAATAAATTGCCAACAGAAGTATTTTTCAAATCAATATTAAAGTACTTGTGTTAATCTTAATGCCCAATGCCCAAAGGTATTATTTGAGGATTACATTTATATTACGAGGTGAAAGTAAGGGTGTCACACTCAGTCTGGTAGATAGGCTTGTAGCATCTCAAACTCTCTAGAGGTTGTTACCTGTCACAGAGCTCAAATTAATGTTAGCTTTTTACTTACCACAACACAATCTGTCCTAGATATGAATTAGTTGCTTCCACTAATCATACCTTTTTTGTCATAAGCACAATCTTATGTGAACTATACTATAGTTGCCATGCACTGATGTTTTACAAAGCAATAATCCAAACAATGCAAACTACATAACTGATTGTAATCCAGGGTCCTTTATAATACGGATCTATGTAGAAAACCATGTATAAGTAGGTTAGCTGGTTATAAAAGCTTACTTTGACCTAGAAATTATCTTATTTCTAAGTCCAGACTTGACGCAAGGGATTTTCCTGCTGGTTATGTAGTGGTAGTGCATTTTGGGACACGTGCCGAAGCCTGTGGTGAAATCTGCATTAGCTTTATGGACAATGTGATAAGAATCATGAGGAATTAACTGCCAGATGAAAGGTGTTTTGAATCAAAAACAGGATGTGATTTTCTATGAAATCAAAGTCAAATTGGAAAGAAGTAACCATGGCTACTCCTGACTTAACCCTTTTTTGTGCTAGCATTATATCAGAGGAAATCGCTGATTGCAAGGCGTCATCATTTTTAAGTTAATTTGAGATTTACAGATCACAGGTCGGTTTTACATGGTATAGTATATATATATCTCACATTGTTCTTGCCTATAGATAAGAGCGGGGAAGCCACATGGCAGGGGTATTACTAGATTGGGCCTTCCTCATTGAAGAAAAATATTTAACTTTACAGAACAGAAGCCAAGATGGGAATTACAGGATATTGGCAAGTTGAAGTCCTCTTTATTTCCTGAGTCAGCCTGACTAAAAATGTTGGAATGTGACCACAAGTGTCTCCTTGGAGTGTGTTTTCTGCTTGTTTGTGATAAAACCACTGAAATGTTTAGTTGTGACATACTAAAACATGATGTAACCACAGCAAAAGTTGAGAAGACTCGTAAAGTCAGCAGACTTCGTAATGTCAGCTACACAGCAATATAACATCAGCTAACCTACTGATCATACCAGACCAAGTAAGGCTGTAGTAGTAGACTGTCAGGGAACCTTCAACAAGACTCATATATAGCTTTGAAAACTTACCACTTGTTATCACAGAACTTGTAGCGGTGGTCATCAGCTGGGACGATGTCAATAAGTAGGATGTATTTGGTTTTGGGGTTCATACCGGTCACTTTTACCTTGTAGCTAGGAAACATCCTCCTGTTGATGAATGTAAAGGAAGAGTGTTGAAAGAGTGAAATTATTATTACTCTTATTCTTACACAGGCAACAACTGACGGAACAACTGAGTATTATATTAGATAAATTAGCTTAAGCATCTTCTACAGTAGTACAGCACTGTAACATAGTGTAAGTCCTTATTCTCAGGTAACAAACCTTTAAGAAGTATTTGATATAAATTTGAAAAAAGAAACCAAAAAAACTGCCCAAAAGGTCTGTATTTTATACTGATCAGGTCTTCTTAAGAAAGGATTCCGTTGGCTGTTAAATAGAGTTGTAGGATAAGCGTAGTATCGTCACGGATAGTGCAGATGAAGATCTGATTAGCTCACTGAGTGCAGCTCAGTGATGTTCTTAAGGGATTGGGATGAGCAAGGTCTCATAGAGATAAGGGGGCTGAGGGACGAGTAGGGCGAGAAGCTGCGTTCTTTGAAACCAAAAATAACCTCTACCTGAACATTAAGTGGATGAAACCTACTTTGACGAATAACCCCACAAAGCAAATAACAGAATAAAAACCGACTAGCCAAACCTTCCAGGATCATTTTCTTGACATTGTCCTTACAGTCAAATTCTAACATTTTCTGGCCTGGTAATGATTTGTCTCCTTGCAGGCATTTATTTGGGAGAAGACTGAAATCCTCTCATACTTGTGATACTGAGAGGCCATAAAAAGTATGGGAACACGCTCTATCTTTCATCTTTTAAATGCCTCCAGACTAAAAGACAGAATATGCTAATATAGCACTCAAAGCCATAAAACACATGAAGGGAGCTACCTTTCCTGACCTCTTCTGGGAAACCAAAAACTTTTTCATCCCATCTGCGCCAAAGGAAATTTTGCAAAGGGCTCTGCGCCCCCTTATAAAGCCCTAAGTGGTTTTTAATGGCACCCCAGATCGGACAACAGTTTAGATAGCCGACTCTTCATTGCTCAAGAGGCTACGGTCAAAAAGGCCTGCAGTTTATCTGTGGGTGCAGCCCATGGCAACGTGTTCAAACATTGGAGGGCTCGTGAAAGCCTTGCATGCTTTCTGGAAGGGTGGCGTAACATTAAAACCCCCATCTTCATACTTGCTGTTCCGATTGGTGCAAATGCCCTTCTTCCAAGGCTCATAGTGCCTGACACCATCTGATCATGTTACTGTAAATACTCCCTCACGTATGAGAGAGACAGGGGAGGGGGATTGAGGGCATCTCTCTTCCAGGCTTCAAATCCAATCAGTAGGAGAGATCCGTCCCGGTATCATCCTCACTGAAAGACGGGTTAATCTTAGAGGAACATTCAAAACAGACCTCTGCTCATCTCTGGCTCCACTTGCGCCATACAGACATAGCAGATGGAGGCCTGTGTCAACACATGTGGCCCTCAGATTTGTGTAATATGGCCATAACTACCAAGCGGAGGGCTCTGCTGCTGCTCACGCTTCAACTGTGGAAATGAGTCTGTCCAGCCAGACAGATAAAATGGATGCAACAAATACAAATGAGTGTTGGTTCTCTAGAGATATGAACTTGGCTCGGTTGAGGAATCACATATGCTCTTAAGGTCTTAGTATGCTTTAAACAAATTAGGTTGTATGACATGTTGGCTGACCATGTCTAAAGGCAAAAGTGTTTATACCTGTTGAAAACGGCTACACTTGAAGTCTTAAGGGGGGGGGGTGGACGACAATAAATTGTACGAAATAGAGGTTACGGCGCACAGAAAGCACAGTCTCTCCTAGAAGCCAATCACAATGTTGCGCTCGGCTACACATGCAAAACCTGACAGAAGTAGTTGTAAGAAAATTTAAATTACAGAGTTTAAAAGATTGTTGCTTCCGCACACCCAGTCAATTGCAGAGTACTGGGAGAGGGTTTTTTGGGACTCTGTTTTTGGAAAAGGTTCAGAAAGGGGGGTTCAGATGGTGTTAGACGATCTGACAAGCTCTTTGTTTGCATTTTGGGCTACTGTAGAAACATGGCAATTCTTATTTTCAGGTGATTATACTAACTAATAAAAACATACCTATAAGTATTATATTCCATTTCTGACAATAGATCCTCCTAAATGTTACACACTGGACCTTGAATATTTCTGGTCGATTGGGCTAAATGTTGCAAGTTATTCAGTAGGACTGCTTATGACAATTAACCGAATTTAATTGAATTAACAGGGGGTTATTTTGCATCAAAGTGATGAACTAAAAGGAATGTAATGAACTTTGTTGGTTTATCATGTAGCTAATTCTCTGGAATAGCGAAAAAAAAAAATGTTTATTTTCTCTGTAAATGGTACAATGATTTCCAGTTAATTTACTACAGGACAGCATATGCTGAATATAACAAATGTATTTTATCTGTATTGACCACCCTTGTAGTCTATGTGTAGCTATTCTAAGGCAAAGCAGATTTCATTGCAGTCCTGCTGTTGAGCTGCCCATGTGTCTGTTTATAGATAAATGTGATGAAACATGGCATATCTTGGTGTTGCATCTATAAAAAAAAAATCTATAAAAAACTAAGCTATTGCAACTCTGGACAACTGATTTTCAAAGGCGGACAACATGAAGGCAAACGTATACATACAGTGGTGTGACTAAGTGAGTGAGTTTAAGAGGAGCATGAGAAATGGACGTTGGAGAGTGTGTGTATGATATCAGTGTCAGGGTGTGTGTGTGTGTTTCTGTGCCCAGCCAGCTGTTTCTCTTAACAATCCCACATGTTTAGGCCGTCCAGTGATCCATTCCCTCTCTGGGAATCTCCAGTACCACGGCGAGATCAAAAGGAGCGTTGGGGGGGATGATGAAGCGCTACAACCTAGTAGACTCAGCCTATTGTGGGCGCCGGATTCCTCTTATCAACCCGCCGCTGCTCTCTTGACGGGCTGTGTACAAAGAGGGAGAGTGAGGGAAGAGCTGCGCTGGGTGCTTTGAAGAGGGAGGATTACGCCTGGACAGTGACACTCACAATAACAAGTCTACCAGGCTCAGCTAGGTGCTGCATGGGAGTGGACTGAGCAAGTTTCATCTGAGAGTGTTGTGAAAATGTGGGATCCCCTGCGTGACGGCCTGGCTGCTCTGCATCTGTACCTCCTCCCCTGCCACCTCTGCACTGACCCTCTTTTTAAACCAGGACACTCCTTTATTAAGATTACTTATTTCATGGCTGTTTCAGTGTTCTTTCTTTCTGAATTACATTTTGCATCTACGTCGACTCTAATGTAATTATCCGAAGTATTATGTTATGTTCCTAGGTATAATTAATAATTAAATAGGCTACCTCAAATACAGTTAACTTTTTATTAATGTAAAGTAATTGATCTTGCCTATAGTCTTCTAATATTACTTAGTATTGGGTCAAAATTCCAAATTTTCCCACTCCTAATCAGAATTTCTTTGAAATACATGGAAAAATATTTCCATCAGTTGCTCTAATGTTTGCTACTTCTGACCACTGCGCACCCGGAAAACTCACAATCAGGAAAGGGTTTCTATGACAACCGGCAACAGTGAACTGTTACCAATGTCAGCTGTGTCATAACCACAGATTTAACATGGTAATTTCGATGTTTATTCCCCTTTTCTTCCGTATATAAATATAAAATGTAGCTAACATCAATTCAACTTTGCTTTTTTATGTGGTGAAACTTTATTAAAAATGTACAACTAACAAATGGAAATTTTCTTAATAATTTATATTTAATATATAATCACCTGAATATAAGAATTGTTGCATATTAGTTTGGAATGAGCCATTTTTATGTATAGAGGGAGAGGGGTTACCTTCCATGGAGTCCGCCATGTTGAACCACCATGTTTCTACAGTAACCCAGAACGGACAGACCAAACACTGGCTGTAAATAGGGACTTATGTATTTTTGGGGAGTTTCATGGCCACCATAGTTTCTCCTGCACACTTCACAGCCTGTTCTCATTCCCAGGTTGACAGATAAAGGTGCAAGTGGTGATCAGTTGGTTGCAAGCTAGTTCCCACTTTTACCACATAGTTTTTGAATATATTGAATAAACACATGCACACACATTCTCTCATTTTTAATAGGCTTACATTGGCAGATGTTGAGTTTTTATCTAATGGTTTTAATCTACTGTGTGCAACAGGAAGCGCATTTCATTAATTATCAAGATTTTTTCAGTGCTTTTAGGTTCCAATCTGTTTTTTACGACTCTTCATGATGTGTTTTTAAATGAATATTTCTGTCCAAATACTTTTAAACTCCTCAAAAACACATCCCACATGCACAAGTTTTTCAGACGTGGATGAAAACACCATCAAACAAAACTAAAACTGACTGACCGCAGTTTAAACTGACAGTCAATTTATAATGTAATGTTTAAAATGATACACGTAACACTTAACATTTTGACATGGCTGTGAAATGTCCATTTCAAGCCCTCACTCTCACAGGCTTTCTACTCAGATCAAACTCAGCACCCTGCAGATCAACACTGTCACTTCATCCTTCTCATCCCTCTATCAGGTTTTCACTTTTTTTTTCACCTTGACCTTTGACCTTTCAGTTCCACATAGAACAGCACACAGACTAAAGACAATCTTTAGAGATACCCTGCATCACCTTCTCCCTTCCTGATTGTTTTCACAGCTGTACAATGGAACGTACAGGACGACCATAGATCAGAACATTTCTAAACAGGTTGTCAGTTATCTAAACCTGTGCTTCAGGACCCCCCAAGAGATTACAAAAATTATAAAAGGCTCCAAGATTATTGACAGGATAGAGAAGAGAAAGATTTTTAACTCACAATATTTTTTTCTAAATTAATTTTTTCTTGTTTACTTCTACACAACTCTAAAATTATTCAAATGAAACAAACGATAACAAAAACAGTCACTCTTTGGTCGAACTCCATACAACTCAAAGGTAAATCCAGGCTATAGTGAGGGGTGGCAAATAAACATTGCTTCGTTTGAAGCATCACAAGCCAACATTTATGACCCTCTATGTAAGTGTGTGGCAGTGCCTGTATATACAGAGACCCTGCAGCCCTCTGCCTGTATTTTGTTATTATTTCACTGCGTTCTGGACTTCAACCTTTGGGCAGTGTGTGCAGTGTGAGGCTGGGACTATAAAAACGTAGCGACTAGGTTACAGCGCTGTCTCCGTCTCTGCTCTCAGTCTGTGTCATGAATGTATGAAGAGCTACAGGTTTGTGTGTTTGTTTGACCAAGCGAAGGGTTGCGAGACACACACACACACTCACACTCACACACACACACACACACACTCACACTCACACTCACACACACACACACACACACACACACATATTTCCTACTTCCTACAGGGTTGTGAGGAGGCACAGACGCTGGAAGTCAGTCAGAGTTGGGGGTGCTGAGAGAAAGTCTGTCTATATACCGACGACGTCATACTAAACGCTAAATGCATGACATTCATAGTTTTGTTCCTTCATTTGAATGACCAGGATCTTTTATTTTCTATTTAATAGTTACATAGATTTTATAACTTTTTAGCAGATAAAACTGATAAAATACAAGTCAAAATTTCTTTCCTGCCATAAATTCTGGCGCACACAAGTACATTCCAGTAAATAAGGAGAAAGTCATAAGATTAAACATTTTTATGAAGTAAAGGTTTTCATTATGCCAGGTTTTTGGTGGTGCTACAGTCCCCTCAGCACCCCTGTCCATGGGTCGGTGTTTTATTTGTGCTTTAGAACGTAACCACAGTGAAACAATTAGAAAAAAACACCTAATTTCTCAGATTCACTGCTTTGTTTTGTCTAACACCACTCCCTCTCTTCATTCAACAAGTTCTTGCTTTGGTTTATCTGACACCAGAGGTGTCGGGTTCGCTTTGTACAACAATTCAGTCTGAACTTGTGCTTTTGCTCCTATACTGAGTACTCAGTTATTGGTACAACACAGTTTCTGTAAAAATGTAAGATCCCTGTTAATTGGCTAGATTGTTTTATTTGAATTTTGGTCTAATAAAGTAGTTGTGAGATGTAAAAATAGTTTTAATGCCATCTCACTTTGAGTGTGGTTTCTGAAGAGACAAGCAATGATTTGGTTGCCTGTCTTTGAAACCTATTTGAGCTAGCATCAGGGCTCTTGGTTGCTTCACCACTTCAGTCCAGACTGAAATATCTCAGCAGCTAGGTCACTGTTTCTACAGACATTCATGGTCCTCTAAGGATGATTTGTTTTCCTTATCAAGCAGAACACAACTTCATATTGCTCTGTCATATATTTTCATTGTCACACTTATTTTTCTATCATATCTGCATTGGTTAATCTAGTCTAATAATTTGGCTTCGATTTCATGATTCATAATAATCTGAATTGAATTAAATGAATCTGATAATTAGACAAACCTGATGTCCTGGGTGAAGCACAGATTAGACTTTCAGAAGTTACCAGTGATTACTAAGATTGAGAGCACTCAATCTGATAATCTGAGCCTGGTTTAAATCAGATTGATAATCAGATTTTTTTTCTTATATTGTCTTGTCTGCTCTTAACCTAAGATTATGAAATTACACGAGTATCCATCTAGTCATGCTTCAATCTATACATTTGTGGCCAAACTATAGAGTCCTTTGAGGAAGTACTGGCAGCTATGGGGGTGGACACAAAGTGTGATGCAGCGAGAAGACACTGTTCATTAAACAGTAATGGCGGCTGTTAAAGAGGTTAGCATAGATGCTGCTAGCACCAGTTATATCAGAAGTGGAGAGTACTTAGAAGAGCATTGGTAAGAGTTGACTACATTATTATTGGTCTGATTCATCCAGTCACCTAGCAAATTCTTTTTTGAAAGTGCCTGCCCTTTTCCATTCTGTTTCTAATGATAACTTCCAAGGTGCTTCTATGTAACAAACCATCTGGTGCAGTCAGGTTAGTCTGCTCTGTAATATTTGAAACATTACTGGAGAATCACTGGAAATGAGTCTCACTTTACAGAAAAGTTTTCAACTTTCAAACATAAAGGATGCTATGATTGCACTCATTTTTCAGTCATTTTCATTTTCTGATATTCTATTCTACTGGTGTAGACCAATGTGACCAAATATCTTCTACCATGATAACACTATTCATACAATACTTGAATAATTCAGCCTGGTGTTGATGTCATTTACTGGGAGTTCATTTGTAGAAGGGTTTCTTCTGAAGGATGAAACCAGTTTCTGTGTGACCTTCAGCCGTCTGCTGCAGACTGACTGTAGGTAAACCCAGACAGGTTTCCCAGCACAGCTGCATAGCTAAACCACTGCACAGCCCTTCAAAGGGCTTTAAGGATTCAGAGCCCACTTCATCAGCTGGACAAGGGAAAGCCCATCTCTTACGGTTATGCAGCATTAAGGAAAAAATGTGGTGACCTTTTAAATTTTTTTACTGGAAAAAAAACATCCCATGAGGAATGAGAGGCGGAGGTCGATTTGAGAGTGTACTCATTCTCTGGTTAATGTCCAAAGGCCTCACTATCTAATCCTCAGGTCGCATTAAATCCAACAAGCCAAGCAGTCATTTGTGTTTTCAATTATGCAGTCACTGCTGCAGGAACTTTCTGTCTCTTCCTGAAAGACAAAGTTATAACTGCTATATGTTACTATTAGCTGTCTAAACAGATGGTCACAGAAAGGTATGATACTCATTTTGTGTAATGAATCCATCACTTAATATCACTTTCTCTGTGATTTTCCACCAACCTTATGATTCTGTGCAGAAGTATATTAGCAACTTTTAATATATTATGTGACTAACAATATATGCAACATTTTCCAGGTTTCTGTTGACATCTTGCAAATCCAGTGAAACTGTTTTCTTTGAGGAAAGCCTTATTCAAGCTACTGCATTAGTATTTATGGTGAATAAACTCCAATGTTAACGCTGTGATGCATTGTGTTATTTGTAGCAACTTTGATCTGAATCCTATTTTTGTGTATAGTATGACATATTTCATGATTCATTATGAACAGTTGTGGAAAGTAACTAAGTACATTAACTCAAGTACTATTTTCTGCAAAATAGTAGTAGTTTTTACTCCACTTATCTGACTATAGTTACTAGTTACTTTACATGTTAGGATTATATAAAATGATGCATTTTTATAGATTAAACTACCCAACACTGACACCTAAAATGAGCTCTACTTTACGCTGCTACAGCATTAATATCTTCCATCAACAATTGAAAATTATATAAAGTATATAATGATAGAACACTCTGAAAGGGGCCGTTGTGCATATAAAGTACATTTACTTTCAATTCTGTTGCCTACTGCACTTTTACTTAAAATATTCAGTGCAGGACTTTAATTTGTAACAGAGTAGTTTAACAGTGTTGTGTTGCTATTTTTAGTTAAAATATCTGATTATTAAGTTAACTGTTAACAATGGATAAACAGATGAGCTACTATCATACAAGGACACGCACACACACACACACACACAACTTTCTATGACTAGTACATGCAAAACATAACTTTTGTAGATCACTAATTGCGCTGTGACTGACAGATGTGTTTTCACGCTTTACTAACCTGCCTGCTTTAGTAATGATCATCTCTGTGCCAGCCTCATGAAACTTCTTCCACAGCTCCCTCTCGTGAAGGACGACCTTTATGTTCTCAATGTTCTGAAAGAGAGTGGACATCACTGTTACACACAACACAGACCAAGGCAATCTATTAGAAATAACAAAATAAATAATGTAATTTAAAATATTGGCATATAAACACGCTGCAGAGCAACATAGAAAATGATCTGCAGTATATATCAAATTAAAAATCCACTCCATTTTTGCTGATTGAATAATTTTATTTGTTTTTATACCTAAAAAATTAATCACAGTACAATTAATAAAAGTTGCCTTTAGTATAAAACACTCTTTAGTGTAGTGTAAATAGATGTTTCCACTGTTTCTTGCTCCACTGAACCTTGGTAGAAAACAAATTTATTTATTTATTTTAAAAAAAACAATTTATATGCAATTTCATTTTATTAAGTTCTACCTATTCAGAGAATAATCCCTCCACATTTCAACAGTTTACAAACGGCAGCCATAAGGAGCAACTGTGTGTTTTTGCCATGTGTACCTGGTCGGGCTCACTGGAGCTGGGAATGGTAGGAGCTGTGGACAGGCCCAGTCGTGACTGGTCTGGAAGGGGATCCGTCTCCCCGCTGGTCTGGACCCGGCTCATACATTCATCCGTCACAGCTGAAACCTTCTCCTGCAGCATCTCTGCAGGATTAGAAAAATACTCAGCTGTCAGACTCATCAGTGAGTGGCTGTGAGGGCAGAGAAATGTCCTCTGTGCATCGGACCTATAGCATGTGACACTCACACAGATTCACTGTAGACTCTCCAGTGCAAATAGTACATATTAGGAGCTGAAGAAAGGCAGCACTGGTTACATCACTGCAGAATTAAAAGTAACAAAGTACAATAACTGTACTTATGTCTGTTTATCTGTTTACTTCAGTATTTATTTTTGTGACAACTTTTTACTTTTACCCGCTACATTTTTACACAAATATCTAAACTTTCTACTCCTTACAGTTTCAAAACAAAATGAAACAGACTGAAGACGGAGACTATAAGTTAAGTACATCTCCTGTGCCTTTTTTATTTTTACTTGAGAAAAGAAGTTGAATCTGTACTTTTACCAGTCTTTTTACACAAGCATCTGTACCTCCACTTGAGTGAAGAATGTGTACTTTTACCATCTTTGCCTCACTGCCATCAAGATATGGTAAAATGCACATAAACTGCAACATGTACAGTATGTGTGGTATGCTCGCCAGACTATGTTGACTATGAATGTGAGGTGTTATTAGCGTTGTACCAGGATGAACTGTTAAACTCTAAGTTGAAAAATTCCACATGAATCTTTTACAGGCTGATTTTACTGAGAATACAGACAAAATAATGAATTATATTACTGCCTGGATCTGCAGTCATAACTACTCTTTATTTAAATACCTCTCAAATGTACCCTCAATATTTCATTTACAACACAAATTTAATCTATCAACTAATTTATCACTGTGTTAACACATTTCCCTCCTGCTCACGGAATATACACCTAATGATTCCGCCTTTTTCCCCAGACACATTTTCAGATAGTGATTTTACATCCTGTTTAATGTAAATGTAAGTAATGTAGAGGTAAAATGCTGATGTTGCGGCCCAGAAAAATATCTATCCCACTCAGTGAATGTCTGCTACTGAAGTGTTTGAATATAACTGTCATTTCCCACCTTTTGGCTACAAAAAGCTTACTTAAATTGCATTAATAAGCCAAACTGAAAGTATAAAAATACTTTATATGTGGACATAAAAATGTCACTATATTTGTAATTCAAAAATGTATGTTTCTTAAGCAAAAACAAAAGGTAATTTCTTTGGACTGGACTGGGTGTCCAGCCACCATGTTCCTTTTGTTGATGACAACGTCTGGCAAAGTCGCATGACGGTGGAAAATAACTCATGTTAACTTGAGCCAAGTAGTATTTAGAGTGGCTTATTATTGGATGTAGACATGAGAAACTGGTTCAGTTGAACATGAAGTTGACACGTTGTAAATAATGCTCTTACCCTGACTGCGCTATCATTTAAAAAGTTATATTCAATATGAGCACCATACATTCACACATATTAAGATACAACAATACAAGATCACTAATCAGATTTCAACTATTCTACATATAATCAATATAAATATGGCAACACAGAAACAATACAATATTAGTAATGATATACAGGATAAGCCTTCACAATACAAAATCATTATTTAGATCTAATCTATATTAAGGTCTGCATATATGTGTACTTAAAAGTCCCCCTCCAGTCCAAAATCAGTGTTTCTTCTTGTCCCTACAGTGTGCTGTCTGAATGCTGTCTGAGCAGAGTTTGACTCTAGAAGGATGTTTTCACATTCATCTGCTGAAAGTGGAAAGTTTCTCTGAGCTCATTATAAAATCTGATTTTAAGGGGCGGGGCCTACCAGCATGATTTGTGACATCATAAATAGTTAGGAAGTCAGTCCTGGTCCAGTATACAACTTGTACAGTGTGATGTAGAAACTTGAAGCCACCAGTGCACATCCACTGAGAATGGACTTTACAGTGAAGGAGGAGACATCTTGTGTCCAGCAGCAAAACTTTAGAAATGAACATTCGCATATTCAGAGATTCTGAAATTTATAATGAGGTAGAAGGAGTAGATTATTTTTTAAGGATTTTAATGTGACAATTAAGCTTTGTTTGTGGAATAATCATATCAGACACCCATTATTGTTTCAAGCATACTATTTGTATAAATATCTGAATACGTGTCTGGAGGAGATTTCTATTAATTTATTTTTTTTTTTTTTTTAATTAAACTTCACACACCAGTTCAGCATTTCTGTACTTGTCTGCTCCTCTTAGGCACATAGAAGTCACGAAACCCTGCAAAAAAATGTACTGTATACCATTTCATCCCAACAACTATAATCATCTTATGTGAACCTCAGCCTGTGATTACAGCTAACAAATCACACTAACATACTGCGATCATAGCTGTAGTAAAATGCAACTAAGAGTGCAGTTTGGTATGAGAATGCATGTAAAGTACTGTAACACATTGTAAAAGTGAAGCCCCTGACGAGCAAGTTTTAGTTCAATTATGAAACATGCAGGGCAGGGATTAGGAGCTGTTTCAAACAAGACGGGTTGGATTTTTTAACAGGAAACCAATGAAAAAAATCTGGTGATAGTGCGAGTAAAAAATGTACGATGTATTAATCCATGTCACTGTGTTGACGGTCACATGTCCTCCTGTCTCTCACACCTAAAGGAACCACTGCAGATTGTCATTCACACTGCTTCATAAACCCCCCTCTGTGTCTGCGTCTCATCCTGCTGCTCCGAGCTTCAGACTCTCGAGGGTGTCATCCAGCTCCAGTCTGCACACACTGTGTACTGAGTGCTGCTTACGAGGCTGGAACTATCGGTGAGGGATTAACAAAACCAGTAATTCCACCTTCAAACACATTATTAAAAAAATGCTCTTTTCTTGGATGAATTTAAAAGCATCTCAGCCCTTCAGATTATTGTCATATTCCGAATATAATTTGTCTTTCATATCATGTTTCAGCTACTGGATTCACACTGACCACAAGTTCTTCAGTCCTGTAACTTTACAGTATTCTCGATTATCTTAACTACCAATCCCTCTGAAGAAATTAGGCTGAGAACTACCCAAAGCACTGTACATCAGTGTAAAACCTGTTGCTGTCTCCTCCTTGTCCCTGAAAGCCCATGCCTGTAAAAACAGCGCAGCCACTCTCTTAGCCATGAAAGTGGAGAGGCGGCGTCCAGAGTAAACTGATGGAGACGTTTGTGAAAGCTAATAAAGATAAGGGCTGACAGGAAAATGGCCACAGAGCCTTTTTTACAGTGTGAAACTGGGCCTTTCACTGGTCCTGTTTAACCAAGCAGCATGAGCCAGAACCCTGTTTCTGTTACTCTGGACACTCAGCCTGAAAACTATTCAGGGCATCTGTTCCTACAAACATGCCATGCCATTTCAATATCTGTCAAATGCCCTGAAGTGCTATTAGTTTTTTGTTATTTTGAGCGCATGATGTTGTACTTTAAATGTGTAAAATCCTCATGGGAGTCAGGTTTGAGCCTGCTGTTTGTCCTGTAAGAAATGTTTGCTTTAAACGAATCTGCTTGTAAAACATTACAATCCACTTCAGGAAGGAGTAGGCTACTGCCCGTGCAGCAGCGATAAACAGCGCTAGTCATTTTCTTCTGCAGATGTAGGAAGTCTGGAAAAATCTATAGGGCAAATTTGAGCATTCTGATGTTGAGAAAGGGTAGAAAACCACCCTGAAAAGCTAAGAAAAAATGTATGCATGCTTTATGTAAGATATGAGGCTGTTAGCGCAATTGTATTCCAATCTGCCACCATTTTGTGTCTGCAGCTCTGATACATAAAAGGCCTGAGCATCAGCAGGGAAGGCTTTTCAGTCTAAATAACAAACAATATCAGATGATGAATATGTAAATAAAGCAGGTAAAAAATAGGAGGACGTGACGGTATTTAATTCCACTTTTCACTGCAAATCCGCTACAACCCAAAAAATTCTTTCTGCAAAAATCGCCATCAAATTAGCTAATATAAGAAAAAATTACATCTAACAATCTAAAAAGGCAGACTTTTTCACAAGATTTAAACTCCCACAGTCACTTCCCACACCCACAGATTTCAAGTGTGGCTTTCCAATCCTGCTAAAAAACAAAAAACAATAATAATGTCTTCTCTAGGGCTAGTTTAAGATAAATTAAGAAATAGGCATGACAACCCCTTCCAACTCCATGTTGCGTATTTAAAAATATATATTTTAAAAACACCTTCTTTTAGGCCTACAACATTAATTTAAAACTATATTTAAAATATTCACGCCATGAATTCATCATGTTTAAATTGGCATCTGTTAATAAAGTTAATGCCAGGTAGAGGCCAATATTTAAGCAAAAAAATAAAATAAAATATATGTATATCATATTAATAATAATAATAATAATAATAAAGCGGTAAAAATAATGTGTTATTATTCAAATGGTACATGAACTGTTGTAATAGTAACCCAAGAATAAATCAAATATATAGCCTACATCTTTAAATTGACAGTATTTGTGCTTAAATTGTAAAATAAATACATGAGTAAATAAATTTTAAAAAGCAAAGAGTAATGTACAGAAAAAATAGATAGTCAGCATCAGTATTATTCTAAGTTGCTGGACCACTGTCGCTTATTTCCCGCTCCATCTCTCTCCCTCCGCCGTATAACTGTCACACTCAGATCTTCCCTATCAGATTGTGGGAGCTGTCTAATTACCGCAGCTGATTTCCCTCACAGAGGATGACACCCTGCATTTTAAAGCCCTCCTGTCCTCTCACACCTTCTCCCTCACACACCCGCCTCAAGCAGACAGCGCTGTTTACAAGCAAGCAGATAATCAGTCGATAATCAATTTACAGTCTGCAGCCTGTCTACGTGTCTCTACTGTACCTCACGGTTCGGCTATCATCTGCTTAAATCCATCCCTGCGCGGCGCAGCTCTGTCTCCGGCCTGCAAACAGCGGGGTGTTCCCCTTCCCACGGCGGCTGCACGTGGCTTTAAAAGCGCCTGTTCTGGAGCGGGACTCCGGAGGCTGCAGCGGCGGCTGTCCGCTGGAGAAGTGTCGGTGCGTCGGTCGGTTCGGCTGCCCTAGTGCCCTTCAGCTTCTCCAGCACCGAGCTGCGTTCTGCGCCTGTGCAGTGCGCGCTCTGAGCTCTGAGGGGGGAACTCAGTGGGGTGTTTTCTTGGAATCACACACACATACACACACATTGCTACACGATGCATACACACTGTTGCTCAGCCCCCTTGATGTGTGAAAGCGGCATGGAGAGAGAGATTTCTCCCCCTGCCTCTCTCACCGGGCTGGCCCCGGCGCTGAAGCGGGAGAGCAGTGCCTTCCAGGCGGACTGTGCCTCCTGTGAGCCTCGGTAACATCCAGTCACTGGACAGTAACACCACCACCATATACAGTTAGTGTCTCTAACACTGAGTCAGCACGCACTGTAGCAATCAGTTCCCACAGATCTTGCCTTGGGGACCAATATTGTTTGATAATGTTGTAACTGCCTGCATGAACTAGTGATTGCCACCAACTCAGTCCTTCAGATCAGCAGGGTGCTGCACCTCAGGGTGCCTTATTCACCTGAACTGCTGCTGACACACTGGTCACTGTTAAGTGTCTCAGAACTGGCAATGATGCAAAACCATTCATTCTTACACCTGAATATACATTTTTACCTTAATAAAATAAAATACTTAATTCAAAAAAATCACTGCAACGTTCAGTTGTCGCGGGAAATGATAATTGCGCTTCAGCGATAATCCACTTCAACAATTAGGATATTTTTACCCCCAAAACTCAAACAACATAGAACCTCTGACCGCCAATATCTATTTAAATACAAAACAATAGCAGTTAATAATAAATATAACAATACACAAAGTCTTTATATCTTAAAAACAATCCGTAATCTGTCTAAAGAAATCTTCCTCTGTCCAACCATACATCTCAATAAATCGAATCGTGAAATAATCATTCAATTTACCAAATACAATGCAGGGATCTACCTGTATCGCTAGTTAAAAGTGATGTAGACCTACAGTCTCAGAGTAAGCTTTATTATTTACAGAAGAGCTTTATTGTGTCTTGTACAATAAAGAAAGTCTGAATGGAAGTTTTGGAGTGGCCTACTGGCACTTCATTACATTGTTATTAATATGTTACTAATAAAGTTGGAAGCGCTCCAACCCGGTGGAATCACTAATGAACCAGGATCATTTGTTACGATTTAACTTGGGTTTTTTTTTAAGTTGTTGGTTATTATGGTTTGACTCGGAACCTCTTAACAAGGAAACCTTTAAGAACCGCAGCAGAGGCCCTTGGGCTTTTCTTTTCTAACTGTAAGTACATATAGGATCATATAAAGAAATAGTAGTTTGATTTATATCACTTAAAACCCTGGTAAATTGGAGGTTTGATATAAAATGTTCATAAAAACGGCCTTTTACGCAGTTAAGCCTCATTTAGATGATTCCATGCGTTCAAACGATCCCTCACTGAACTCTGAGAACGGCCTGAATCTAAAACCACTTGAAAATAATATTGAAGAAAATCTCCACAGCAGCAGGCAGGTTATGCTGTGGCAGGCACGCTGCCCGTGGTGTGTGTGTGTGTGTGTGTGTGTGTGTGTGTGTGTGTGTTAATAACCCAGCAGCCATCACTCTGCAGTCTCTCGGTGAGTGACGCGCAGGCCGCGCTGTTTGCAGGTGAAATATGCTCTTGTGGTTTTGCAGTAAATGACGCATAGGTCTACAAATCAGATGCCAGCGTGACTTATATATCTGTTGGTGACATGAGCGAATGAACGGCCACCGTTTGTCATTGGGCCCCGTGAGTGAGTGTGTGTGTGTGTGTGTGTGTGTGTGTGTGTGTGTGTGTGTGTGTGTGTGTGTGTGTGTGTGTGTGTGTGTGTGTGTGTGTGCAGCCTGATAGCGCTGCTGACAGACGCTCAACTGCGACTCTCTCCAACTGCTGAAAAGTGGAGATTGAGCTGCTGCTGGCCGCTTTATTCTCCGACCTCAATCTATTAACTACACACACATTCTCACCCTGCCTCACTGACACTCTAAACATCACATCCCCTGCCTAATTCACTCCCATCTAAAGTCGATAAATCAGTCATTTCTCTTCTATTATTTTTGTATTTTTCACCTTATACATTTCATTTGCGTGCTGATTGAACTATTAGCTGGGAAATAGCGCCCGAGGTGTGTTTATAGCACCGTCTATGAACACAACACAGAAACTGTGGAAAAGCCTCCATTGTGATGTGGCTGCATTTATCTGCAGTAAATGCCCTTATTCCGTCAGAGCCAATTAGACAATCAGTCTAATTAGCCAGAACGCAATTATACTAAAGCCTGAACTCATTCAGAGCCTGTAAAGTCTGGTAGATTCATTAGGGGAGAATTGTGGGCCTTAAATTGCCCAGCTATAAAACATCAGAGAATGTGGAAGTTCGTGAGATATATATTTAAATGTATACCAATGGTCATAAGGCCAACGCCTGTGCAGTTACTGTAGGTGAATCTAAGAGGGAAACATTTAGAAATGTGACCCATAGTAGCCAAACAACTCTACATTAAGTTAAAAAGCTGTTCCATGCTCAAATTTGATTTCTTATTTTTGACAAGCTTTAGCTTGGCAGAAATACACCAGACTCCATAGAAAAATTTGCACTTTTAACCACAAGTGAAAAAGCATTCTACTTAAGAAAACAGTGAGTATTTTTTGGATCAGTATCTGTCCGCTCTTACCTCCCGCTTTGCTCTCAGCTTAGCCTGACCTCTGTGCTCCTTCAGTCTCCTCTCCACTGGGGGAATGTCAGTCCTCACTGTGTCAGACCCATGCAGCACCTCTGCAAGTATCTGCTGCAATCAAAAAGTTAGATTCTTTTTTTTTTTATAGCAGCAGAATTGAGCTGGGTTTCTGGAGGGGAATTGAACCTCCACACACTCCCACCGTCACGTGGTCGGAGCAGGAGGAGGTTACAGCTGCAGCCAGTCTGACACCAGTATTGGACTTATGACTTCCATTTGGTGATCACTGGAAGGGAACACCAGTATCCGCGACACTCAACCCTGTCTGTCAGAGTTTTAATACTGTATATATTTTCTTATAATCTACTATCAGTGTGATGTGCTCATGATTTAAGACAAAAAAAAAAACAATCAACTACAATCAATACAATCTATAAATGTGTCCTTCACTGAATCCTACATTCTAAATTAAATATTAAATATTATATATTATATATTATAAACTGTATTTATGTGTACGGTTGTCCATCTTAATACACTCAACACAGTGTTTTACATTACATGAAAAAGGGGACATTGCCGGGTTGGTAAAGGTTACTTTAAAATTAAAAAATGTAATTACTAATTACTAAGAATTACTAATTATCTGTTAAAAAATGTAGTCAGTAACCTAATCCAAGTGTCAAAATATTAAAGTAACTTAACTTGATTACTTTCTGTTACTCTTTTGAAGATGACATATTATGTAGAAATTACTAGAAATTATGCCTTCGAAAAGAATATGGAATCCAAGATTTTTAGCAATGTGTCCTCTGCTCAGTGTATTAATTAAATAATTAAATATAGGGAGTAGCCTATGGAGCATTTTCACAGCTCGAAGGCAAAACTTGCACTGTACTATGATGCTGTTCCTATTTATGCTTTAAAGACTAAATAATGGTGAAATCTCTACCCAGTGAAAAAGTTTTTCCACTAAAAGCTATGATGGATTTGCTATAATTTCACTGGAGACTAGAAGGGTGTAATCCTTCTAATAATCCCTATTTTTAACTGTAACAGATTAAGCCTGAACATTGCTATATCTCCTGTTAATAAACTCTTTTCATTGTAATTTTTCATTTATACCAAATATCATCACTGTACAGTTAGAAAATGTACATTGATTCACAGTCACGCAAGGAAATCAGCAACTTCCTGTTTGTTTCTCAAGGTGCAGACTGGTTTCGGGAGACAGGGTTGGCGAAAATACAAATTTTATTTGAGCTATATGTTACTGAAACATACATTTGTCAAATCTGTCATTTTTATGATCTGAAACAAGGTGAAGGAGATGTCAAAGCATTACATTTGAGAATATCAAACCCTATTAAACTCTATAAAAGTTTATAGTTTTTAAGACTATAAAAACTCTTGCTTTTGCAATTATATTTATTATATAGACACACTGTCTATCTATTGAATAGATTTATTTTATCTTTCACTGTTGTTGTCTTCACTATGTTGAAAACCTGGTCATTTTCCTGCATTAAGACTATTCTCAAATTGTGAATCTGCATTCTGCATTGCTCCCACATATCAGACATTTATACATAAACTGTGTTATTGCTCTTACATTCTGATTTTATCCAGTTAGAAATGTTGGTTACGCCTTCCTTTTTTTACTGCTTTGTGTATTACCAGTGCTTTAGGCAGCGTGTCTCGGACAAAGCTCGGAGATTGTCAAGCCGGAAATGTGGTTGGGGGGGGGTTCTAGACCTTCTTGTTTCCTCTACAGTCAAAATGGTGGAGGCCGAGGCTCCTTTTTTGTTAGCTGGGTACAGTATCGGCCCCCTCCCGCCTCCTCTTTCTCCACACTGCTTCATTTCTAATCACTGATTGGCCATTTTCTCTCCTGGCCAATGTTGAGCCTTAAGTGACTGCAGCGCGTCACAGACAAGGTGGAGATTTCTGTCTCGGCTCCCCTCCTCAGGCCTCCAGTGTAATATTGTTCATGGCTGACCTCCAACACATTGCACAAGCTTTAGCACATATTAGTATGAAGCGGTTCTCCACATCATGTTGTATTGAGTATTTGCATACAATAACTGATTTATCATCCCACCCTTTCCTAGTTTGATTTAAATGTGGAGGTGCCTAAATTTGGAGCGCCTTGAAAACTACTTCCCTGTGTATTTTTTGGATAAGAAACCTTTAAAGCTGCATAAATTTATATTTTTATATGAACAATGGATCAAATGACAATGTGTGAAATGAAAGATGGTGCTCATAGTGACAAACCCACAGAAAATTATCACCCAACTCTTAATCTGCAGTTCCACTCAGCTCTGAGCATTTTAGCATCTTTAAGCAGAAAAATGTAGTTGTTAGCTTGTGAACATAGTACAGGAGCTGGTGGGGACCAAAAACAGAGCTAAAAGAGAGTGTAGCTCCCTAGATAGCAAGAAACAACACTGTTCTAGTATTACAGAGTAAAAAAAAGATCAGATCGAATATACCAGCAGGCATATAGCATTTGAGGTTCAATGATGCTGGATGCCCATACAGCTAAACCAGTGGTTCACAACCTAGGGGTCGGGGCCCCCCACTACTGGTTGCCAAAGCTTCCTGGGGGGGGTTGAAGGCCATCTTGATTTAAAGGATAGTATTGTAGTAAGAATTAGAAAAGTTAAAACAGACTATGTATGAAAAACTATCAGGAAATATTATCTCTAATCAATATTCAGAGGTAATAATCTGCTCCAAATTCATCTGGTTTTACCCAAACCTCCTGCAGTTACTGAGGTCACTGTTTGGGTTCATTGTACAGGTTTGAATATCAAATATTATGTGTCACTGAGTCAGGGGTCGTCAGAATGAATATGGGGGAACAGGTTGTGAACCACTGGCCTACACCCTCCAGCCACATACATCACCCCACACCACAACAAATCAGGCTACAAATCTACAGCAATTTGTGTCCTGTTGTTACTACAATACCCAGCAGACACTGCGGTCTACAACACAAACAACAAACTACACTATTTTTTAAAAAAAAGTTAAAGTTAAAACTCATCTGACAGCCTGTCATCACAAATAATGAATATGAAACGACTTACCAATGATGTTTATAATATCCAGCAGCTGTCAGTTTGAACGACATGACTCCACTGCAGTCTGTATGAGCTGTTCATCTTCATCATCTTCATCACGGTTGCTGTCGGCTACCTGCACGGAGCTCGCTGCCGCTGCTAGCTAACAGTGTCACCTGTTTGGCTAGCAGAGCTAACAGCAGCGCTCTGTCAGACATGGAGAGCTGAGTTCTGACTGAGAAGAAGTTTGTGAGGGAACATATGAGCCAACAACACTCTTCCTCTGCTCTCTGGACTTCTTAAATACTTTTATAGTTAGTGAAAACAGCGAGGTAAACAGAGATACAGCAGATACAAGCATTTAAAACCCCCGCTGCTGCGCCTCTGCGCGTCCAATCAGAGTGGCTGGCGGGGGCCCTGTTAAGGGGGTACTAAAGGGACGGAATCAGCGACAGTACAAACAGGCCACAGTGCCACCTCTGGTGCCGGCTGCTGCGTACCGTCGAGAACCCCCTGGAACCCCCTCCTCTCTGCTGCAGAAGACAGACTGGTCTGACTTTTAACTTTTTGCCAGTCAAGACACACAAACAAACGCAGATTTGGCCAAAGGTGGGCCTCAGAGAACCGAGTAACCGAGTTACAGAATAATTATATTACAGTTACGACTCCAAAAAATACTTTTTAGTCAGTCACAACATTACTTTTGTGTTTCATCCCCAACTGATTTGAAACCCAACAATCCAATCACATCATTGGATTTATTTTTGTAATTGTGGAAGAAACTTGTTTGGAAGATGGAAAAACTCATATTCAGTGGCTGGAAATATAAATGTTACTTTGATTTTAAAATCGTAAATCTGAATTTTGGGGAGAAGGTGCACCATTACCAATTTTGTGGGGTGTAGCACAAAAGTAATAATATTACTTTTAAAAAAAAGTAATGAGTAATAAATCAAAAATGTTCAGTAGCCCAACAATGTTTTCCTAAAATTACCTTCCTTACAGTATTGCAATATATTGCGATATATTGAATCGTAATCCCTGTATCATGATACGTATCATAAAGTTTTTTCCAATACACAGCTCTAATTATAAGTATGATATGGATAAATGTCAGATGATATTAAGCACAATGTTCAATACTGCTTTAATAACATCGTATCTCTGCAGCTCTTTTAATTCCCCCCTTTGACCCGAAAAAACAAATAAATTAAATTTAACCAAAAAAAAAAAACCAAAAAAAAAAAAAACAAAACAAAAGCTCCCTTCTCTTCCTTTCCCTTTTCTTTCCTTTAATTTTTTAATTTACCTTAAAAAAAAAAAAATTTAAATTTTTTAAAACTTAAAAAAAAAATATAATTGGAAAACATTTTTTTTTTAAAAAAGACTAACCCAAAAAAAATAAATAATTTTTAAAAAAAAAATTTAAATAAATAAATCTGGTTATCTAAAATATTTGCTAAAAAGCTTTTCTGCAGTTCAGGAATCCAGAAATTCCTGATTGTAAGGGGTGATTCAGTTCAACGGGAAAAGGCCTTCTTCTAGGAAACAATTACCCCCTTAAAGGGATTCTATTTTTTTACATTTGTTGGGACGTCAGCTTCACGTGGTGTGTTCTAGTGTTGTTTTGAGTATGTCACATCTTCATTATGTGGAGGGATTAAGCTGTGTGGTCACATTAGATCGAGCCCCAAATCCTCTGTGGCCAATTAATGGAAGAGCAGCGGTTTAGGTTTCCGCAAAGGCATTTAAATGTAGTCACAAACATTGGTTTGACACATTTGGAAGTTGGCTGGGTGTTTCCTCCTGCAGCTTGGGGAATTTTCTCAATGCCTCAAGTGGCAGCTATGTGAAAATCACTTGGTAGAATCAATTGTATTATAGATGATTAACAATTAACTGTTGCTTTCTCTGACACTGTAAAAGTATTTTCATTGTTTACTGATAGATAAAGATATTTTCCCCTTATTTAGACCTGTACAATGTCCCAAGCCATACGAACAGTAAATCTACTGAAACTATCTTGTAGTCAATGGCACACATCAGCTCTGCTTACATGCACAACATTAATGAGTGTGTGTATTCACAGCAGAGCAGTTAACCCAGAGCTCAAGGCAAACAGTGAGAGTTGGAGCCACCGAGCTCCATCACGCACGAGGGAGAGCTAACTCACACTGAGTCAACGCCCTCCCGCTTTCCATCAACAGCCACAGACGCACTGCCACACTTTCCCAAACACTGTTAGCACATGAGAACAGATGGAGCTGCTGCAGAGGCCATTACACACTGCTGCTCTACCGCTAGATAGTTCAGCTATGAGGGTTTCCTACATACAGGATCTGCAGTTATGATTAACCAGCACATAGAAACAGCAACTTATGCAATTAAGCAATTGTATTTCAGACCCATGTGTGTAAAGTAAGAGTGATAAAAGAATTTCCCCATTGGGGATTAATAAAGTATATCTTCTTCTTAATCTTCTTCTCCTTTACTTTTAGAAATGATATCTATCTATCTATCTATCTATCTATCTATCTATCTATCTATCTATCTATCTATCTATCTATCTATCTATCTATCTATCTATCTATCTATCTATTTCTCATATCATGACCAATCGCAAGGTTTGGTAAAGAGCTGCTGTGTGTGTTTGTGGGTAGCTTGGTAGAGGTAAAAGTAACGTGTTAAAAAACAGAAATTATTGGAATGATCTGTTGTAGCCACATTTTAGACTGAGTGACTAAGTAACTAAGAAAGACATGTATTTGGATGTCTCAAGATTTGAAAATAAAACTATTTATTCTATTCAGTGTTTTCCTAATGTGCTGTAAAAATTAAATGTTTTTGAGTTCAAATATCCTGATGCCTTCACAATTGTATTGTCCTGCTGAATAAATAACGTATATTGTATTGTATATATTGTATATAGGCTGGACATTGTCAACAGCACAACATATTATATATCTCCATATGACAAAAATACCTCCCAAAAATATAAAAAGATATAATAATAATTTTTTTCAGCTTTCATGTTTATGGAATAAAGATTAAAAAAATAAAATAAGTGTATAATTTTGTTATATATTGCTGCTATTGCCCCCCAAAAAAGCCATGACAGATATGGGTTTTCCTTTTCAGGAGCATATACAGCAAATGGCACAATTTTTAATTGAATGTGAGTTCTTTTTTGAGTTCTTGTCTACAGACAAATAAAATAAATTTTATTGCATTCAAGGATAAGTCTGATATTGTTATAAGTCAGAATCTTTAAATGTGACTGTTTTTTATCAGTTAAATTAGAGTAAAATGGACGATTTGGTATTTTTTGTATTACACAAGGTCAAATACACACATACATATAAAAACAACAAATGATAATTAATATTCATATATATACAAACATTATGTACAAACAAACATACTGTATACCTCACACACTGTACAGTGATTTAGCATGTATTCACTGTAATTATATTCATGACAGCTTTGAAATAGCAATAACTACCATCACACCACCAATTATTTGATGTCTAAGCTAAACTTTCTCAGGAAGGTGGAACTGTTCAGGGGAAATTTGGACTCATGATTTCAGTATTTCTGAAATTGCTTGTCACCAAATGTGTAGTCTCCAGCTCCTGTGTGACCCTAAACAGAACGAGCAATTTATCATTAAAGATATCCTGTTTTTCAATAGAAGGGATTTCTGTTTTTACAAAATAGTAGCACAACTGCTGCTACATGAATTTATTTTTAGGTTAATTGTGGGGGTCAAGCTTAGGTTAAACTAAGGTTAGTTTATCGCTTGACTTTAAAATGAATCTTTTAAACGCCATAGCTAAAACCACATGTTCTACATTTTTCTTTCATGTAATAAACAAAAAAAAACAAACAGTAGAACTGGTTTATAACATGCTACAGCTCCAGATTGCTGGGACCACATGTTCACAACAGTAAAGAGTTTTGAAGATTTATGACCTTGGCAAACAGTCTTGGATGCTGTTCAGATGTGCACAGTAATGAGAATGGTGTTAGCAACCTCATGCTAGCTCGTTGTTTGAGTGCCATCTTGACAAATAGTACGGTGATGAATGAACTCTCGTCGATTGCAGCACCCTGCTCTAAGAAAAGCTCAGTTTCACATTTTTGTGGCGGTATTAATAGCTAAAAGGGAATGTCTTTCTCTAATCCCTGAATTAATCAAATACAGTCTGTTTTTTTTAGCATGAAACTATAATGAAAAAAAAGGACAAGCAGGGTTAAAGCGTCTGTAAAACGGCTGTTTGTCTGTCTCTCTCCTCGCCACCTCACAGGCTCTGGCATCTCACAGTGCTCGTATTTAAACAGTGTCATGCCCTGCGTTTTTCAGAGGTAAGCCCCTGGACTCTTTGAAATGGGCGCCATGTTTGCACTGTGACCATTTAATGCGGAGCGCAGCTTGATGATATTAGTGTCAGGGTCAATTGCTGATTTCGGTTAGACTTTAGAAGCTGCCTGGCTGGCGGTATGTAGGCATCATGTGCTGCTCGGTTCAAGATCTGGTCAAACCCATAGTTTTACTTACACACACATACACACTCCAGCTCCTCCAGATTCCTCTGATCCCCGAACATGTGACACAGCAGACATGGGACCTGGTTATCCTGCCGACTTCACAGGCCCGAGCCCAGCACAGTGGAAGTTGTTGCTCAGACCTCCCATGGTGGAACCTCCAAAATCCCTTGTCGCCCTTTTCCTCCTTCAATATCATCATCAGCACAGCAAAGTCTGTATTTTAGTTGCGAAGAAATGGCTTTGCCATGTGCACAGAATGTGGAAGTGATACATTTGGACTTTCCCTGCTGCCTTTTATGTGGTTTTCTAATAGCAGATGTAGATCAGAGATGACTGGATCCTATTTAACTCTCACTTATTATACTTCAGTCAGGAGGAAATGGAACCAGTTGGAAGTGAAATGAATTTAGGTGAGACTCAAAAGTGTTCATCACTTCTGATCAACAGGTGTTGGAAGCATGCTATCAGAGTAACCAATACAGCTAATAGTTATTGTCTTTTCGTACAACTTTCACGTCTTTTGTCTTTCTGATTCCTTTTCTGAGATGTACCTCTGATTCCCCCTGTCGTTGGACCTCTGTCACTGTAACGTCTCTGAGCTAAATGTAAAACAGCACTGTATTGTTGCCTGTGACAAACTCATAAAATACAGACGTGTGTGACAAGGACAAGCTTGTCTGAATTCTTTTTCATTGTTTGGTTTGGGTCATTAAAGTTAAATGGGACTCAGGGACTTTAGGGACTAGTTTTTGTCCCCACTCCCGGCTGCG